CCGTGCTTACCTTGCTCCCAGAGACCTGGTCCCTCTCGGGAGGGTAACAAGGGAAAGTGCTCAGTGCAGATCAGTGAGTAAGCACAAGCACGCCCGTGCTTACCTCACTCCCGGTGACTAAGCACAAGCCCACCTGTGCTTACCTTGCTCCCGGGGACTAAGCACAAGCCCGCCTGTGCTTACCTAGCTCCCAGAGACCAGGTCCCTCTCGGGAGGGTAACAAGGGAAAGTGTTCAGTGCAGATCAGTGAGTAAGCACAAGCCTGCCTTGTTTCAGTACCTATGCTTTAACATTGTTGTTGTTGTTGTTGTTATGTGCCGTCAATTAGAGAGTGATTATTTTCCCATCTTTAAGAAGACGACTATGCTCAATCATCTTGGGGAAAAATGTGAGTACTTTTGTTGAATATATTACATTTCAGTTCAGTTTGCAGAAATCTTCACAAAATATCTAAGAGGAGTATAAAGGGTTACAGTACCTTTCCATCCCGAATCACTATATTTTATTCCTTACCTATCTCCATTTCGGTATACGGAATAAACAATTTCTGCACAATTGGTTCTAAGTCTTCTCTTGCTGTTTTTGAAGATGTACAAGTCAAATGAACCAAATCTGTTAAAAAAAAATATAATACTTTGAGTTCTTATTTTTCATCTATTTGTTTACCCATATTCAGAACACTGAGCTGGTTGCCTTGGGTAATAGATAAGTGACAGTTCCTGTCTTTAAGGAGTTTATAATCTAGTGATAAAGAGTATGTAAAAGACCTCTTTAAAGTGGTTAGAAGCAAAGATGTCACTCTGAAGTATAAGGTGAGCCTAACCCACGCCGTGGTTTCAATCTCCTCATATGCATGTGAAAGCTGGACAATGAATAAAAAAGTCCAAAGAAGAGTTGATGCCTTTGAATTATGGTGTTGTCAAAGAATACTGAAAATACCATGGACTGCCAGAAGAACAAATAAATCTGTCCTGGAGGAAGTGCAGCCAGAATGTTCCTTGGAAGTGAGAATGGCTAGACTTTGTCTCACCTACTTTGGTCATGTGGTCAGAAGGGACCATTCCCTGGAGAAGGATGTCATACTTGGCAAAGTAGAGGGTCAGCACAAAAGGAGAAGATCCTCAACAAGATGGAATGACACAGTGGCTACAATGATGGGCTCAAGTATAGCAAGGACTGGACAAGACAGTGTTTCATTCTGTTATACATAGGGTCACTCTGTGTCATTTGACTTGAAATCACCTAATAACAACAAAAACCATGACATTAGTCTATATGTGTTAAATAAAACCCAGAAAAAGTAACTGTTGATATTAATTTTGCAAAATTTACAGAGCATAAAGAGTTTAAGTTATTCTTATGGCATTCCTAAAGAGGGTGGATGAAGAATTGCTAAAAAAAAAAAAATAATAATAAAGCTGTTTAAACAAGACTGAAAGTGGAGTATTTACTTACCTAACAGAGTACACTTCATATACTTCAGATAGAA